TGTTATGGGTGTTGCTGGAATTTTTTAATAAGTTTGAACGAAGTCGTAAGAACTTATTGGAGTTGTTTTTGATGTTGGAATAATTTGTCTTCGTCGACGTCGTAAATTTTTCTCTCTCTCTCTTATGACACGTTCATTGTTAAGTCGTTTATGTTTACAATTACGTAGAGAGAATACATTCTTTCACAATTATGTAAAGAATAATCTTTGCATTATGTGTATTATATTATGATTCTATTATAAAAATTTACTTATCCATAATCAAAACGAACTTTGAAATCGCAAACAAACTTTCGAACAGAGATCACGTGTCACACGTATTAGATGCATAATTAGACCATAGATATTTATGCAAATTCGAATTTTTAATCAACATAATGACACTCTCAACTAAATGGAATTTAAATACATATTTATTTTTTAAACATCAATGAACAATACATAATATATTTTTTCGTATTATGTATATCCCGTAAATTTTATTCAAATTTTCTATAAATGCATAAAAAGCAATCTACTCGTATATATAAATCATAAAGAAGATCAAAAATTCTACAAACGTACGAAACTCAGAATTACCTCTAAGGGCCATGAAACAGTTTCGATACGATAAGTAGTAAAAAAGATTTTACTGGTCGAGATTCTAAGAAGTTTGTGACACTTTAACGATATTACACGGGTTAATGTTGCCGCTCGAAATCGGGTCAATGTAATAGTCGTTTGCCCTTGCCTCCGGATTCGTAAAGCAAACATTTAACGAGCGCGTGCTATCGCTCTGTCTCTCTTTTACACGGGATTCCACCAATGCTCTGCGAGGGTGTTGAAATAATCGTGTTCGGTTAATTGCACGACGCGTGTTAAAATTGGACGCTAAACATCCAGATAATTGCTCGGCTGGAAACGCGTTATCTTATGTAAATTTCGGGAAACCGTGTCAGAAATTCGTTTCGTCTCAACGGATGATGGGGTTAAGCTTCGCGTTAATTGTTTCTAGGTAATTATTTAGACGTTTGTTTTCGATTATTTATGATTTCTACTTGGTCGTGTTATTTAAACTAGATATTAGAATTATAATAATAAAAATATATTAGAATTATAATAATGAATATTTGAAAAAAATATGGTATTTATATGGTATGGTAAATAAACTTAATATAGATTGAATGTTTATACTTGTGATTTGTTATCAGGAATATTTATAATTGTAACATTATATGAACGTATTTTTTAAATTATTCTGCGTTTGTTTTTTTAAATTATTGAATCGTTGTAAATACGAAATAATTTGCATTCGTTTATTATATTAATTCAAAACAAATTTAATTATTGTTTTTTATCGTATAAATTAACATAAATCGAAAAACAGTATATATATTAACTAAATACTTTTCTAAATAATATTATGTATTCCCTTTATTGTTTCAATTTTTTAATTAAAATTTCCCAAGGAGTGGTTGAGAATAATAAAATGTATTAAATAGATATCGACAGTGTATTCTTATCATTAATGTTCTTATCATTGCATTATTGTATTATATGGAATGAAAAACTAGGCCATTGTCATTTCGTATTTTTGTTACTATTTTTTTTAAATAAAACATTTATGAACATTTAATATTTACGCAACTTTTAAACTAAACTCTTTTAATTAATGTTACAACGAGTAATTTTCATTCGTAAAAACAACTCAAAGAGAAAGAATAAACTTTTTCTCTCGTGATTTCTTTTTCAAAGAAATTGAATTTGAAAAAGAATTTGTTAGATAAAAATATAACTGATATCGATTCTCAATTGAATATAAATGGATTATTGATAGAAGGTTTCTCTACATGCGAAAATAAGTGAAAAATTTTTTAATTTAAATTCTTCTTCTCGAATAATCAGATCCTTGAAACTCGATGAATTTTAACAATTTTTTTTTTTGTAAAAAATATGAAAAAATTGTATTCCATATTTTTTTTTTTTTTTACATCAAATAACTTTCTATCAATAATTCCAATAACTCATATCGGAAATTTTCCTATATTCGTTTCATCTCTATATGTTTCAACTCGATTTTTTCGAAAACCAAAAGTGAAAGAAAAATTATTTTTTTTTCTACATATTTCTTGACACGTGAAATCATCTCTTATCCAATCTTTAATTTAACTTTCAATCTAACGTATTTTTCGTATATTCTTTAATATATTCACGAGTCACGAAACAAAAGATCTATATATAAAAATATAATTCATTCATTAAATTATAAACAATTTGAGCTTAGATTAAATTAAATAAAATTCATCTTGATACAATAAACTTAAGACATTTAACGTCTCGACTTTTACATTTCATTCTCCTTTCTTCAATCTTTCTAATTCAACACATCTATCGTTAAAAACACTTCACCTAGTATACGTAGTGACAAATTATAAGCAAAGAAATCTAAATCACTTTGAAATCGCACAACATCACAAAGGAACAAAGCTGATACACAATTTTTCACATTCACGTTCACCAGAAGCCTCAAAAGATTATCCTTTTGACAATTTGTAATTTACTGATTGATCACGATTCGTTCACCGTCACGTTTAATATCGGACGAGTTTCACCGTGTAACAAGGTTCCTTCGTCCCGACGTTGGAATTCAATTATTCGGGGTAAGAAAACGCGCCGCTTGTCGTCACACACACCCAATATCCCAGCGGGTATGGGTTCGCACGAGTATAATTCGTGGGACGAATGTGCGACTCGCGGCAAAAGGGAGAAGAAGTGTAGCAAGAGTATCGATCGATTGGATCGGTAACAAGGATAACGAGACGAGACGATCGTCTCGCGTGCATTAAAACCGTGCCCGATAATTTATGCATGCTTCTTTCAATACCACCTTGTCTTGTTTTACCATTCATCGATTAATCTGTCACGTCCCATATGAGCGATATGAACGCGATTATTATCTCGAATCTCGAGCTACGAATGCAGCAAGAATTTTCATATTTCTCAAACGGTGTCTGTCTCTTTTCATTCATTATTATGGAAAGGAGAACGGAATTGGGTTTTTTAAATAAATTTTATTTCAACATTGTATTATTTTTTGCACCTAATCAAATGGATGAAATTTAATTATTATCTTTTATAATGATGGAATTACAATTCATTTTAATTATAGTTCTAAATATATTTAATGGTAAATTATGGAAGATTTAGTTCATGAATATATGTGTACAGGTACTTTTTTTAATTTAAAATTTATAATATTATATTCTGAGAAAAAGGAGTATAATCAAAATTATGTTTTCCATAGGTTGTAATTAATCGTATAAACAAAATTAATAAGAAATTATGCGATATATACCATTGCATTATCTCTATCATTATCGATAAACAAGAATTAATTCAATCGAAATTGTAAGAAATATAAAATCAAAATTTAATCATATCTAATACATGTCCACAATTATTTCATACTCCGTTCAATTGATTAACTCATCGAGATCGATGCTCAAAAATTATAGAAAAGTTTATTATTATCTCTAATATACGTGTATATATATATATATATATAAAAGATAAAAATCGAAGGAAACGTAATCTTGCCCGTGAAAAGTTGAAATCATGGTGACAATCTGACCGTGGCGATAAGTGTAAATAAGGCAAGGCTGGCCGATAAGATTAGTCATCCAAGAAGACAATGAGGCGATGTCCCACCCGCATGAGGGTGCTGCGACCTATATACCTTGACCCACTGTCCACAGGTGAGCTACAATCCTCCGTCCTACATCATCTTATCTTATTTCTCTCTCGGTCGGCAGACCATTGATAACGAAGAGTACTATATATCACGTGTACGCAGAAATTATTTCGATATGTCGGTTGGAAAACGAGTTGATTACGTGTCGATCATTCTTTCGCCTCGGTTACGTGCCTGTTTTCTTCGAGCGTTCTGTGTGCCATTGTGGTCTCTGGCCAGAAAATTAGAGCCACTTTTTGCAATTTTCAATATTTTTTCGAGTAAAGACTCGAACGAAACTCAACTGCGAATTTTATTTATGATAATTCTTGAGACGTTTGTTTAAAAATATTTATATATATATATATTTGTTATTATATTAGTTTAATATAATTTAATAAATAATAAAATTATTAGTTAATAAAAATTATTGAAAATTGAGGTCGTAGATAAAATTTTCCACTTAATCGATTTCTTTTACATGAGATTCACGTACAAATCGTATTCTTTCATAAAGCAATTTATAAATTACGATTCACGGGGCGCACACGCATTATAAGATATTCGATTGTAAAATATTCAAATATTCTGATGTAGCTATATAAAACACACATCTGCAACTTTATTTGAAGAATGATGGATAGAAGCTAGCGAGAACATTATTTGCATATTACGTGTCTTTAAATATTTACAGGATCATCGCGATGAAACTCTATATTATATAAATAATTATCTTCAAAATAAATACAATATCTCGTAATTAAAAAATTATTTCAAAATATATAAAAAACATAAAAATATATACGAAGATTCCATTAAAATCAAGAAAAGTCAATTGATGCACTAATTTTCGAGAAACAGTTCCATATATTACCATTTTCATTAATCTCGTCGCTGACAAGTAGCCGAGAAATACGTGTAAACAGCAAAAAAAACTAAAAAAAAAAATCTCCATCACAAACATTTCGAAACGAATCAATAAAATCGACAAAATAAGATTCCACGTCCGCATCTTCGCCGATACCCAATACCCAATGCCCATTTCGTTCTGGTAAATATGGTCAGCCTAAATTTTCACTTCGACTACCCGCCAGTCCACTATTCCGTATAAATAAAGATGCGACGGCCACGGCTAAGTGTCGTGTGAAAGTGTACGCCGTCCTGGTAGGAAGTGTAGATCCCGAGCAACGATTCAATCGGTTGCTCCCTTTTATTCGGCGACCGAGTGCCACGGAATTCACACACCAGTGTATTCGTTTCGTGCGCGAGAAAGAAAAGTGCGACGACGATCATGTGTATCCGCACGACAATCTGTTTGGCAATCATCGTGGCCGTGGTCGCGTGTACTGTTAATTGCGAGGAAGTAAGTAACGGTGGTGCGCAGATAAGTGATCGGACAATTTCTCTTCGAGTTCGAGAGTTCGACACGGAATGGATGTGGCACGGAAGTGGCAAAATCGATCGATTTTTTTTATAAAATATTTTCTTTTTTTTTACTTTGCGATTAATATTTTATAGAATCGCTTGGTATCGATTTAGGATTATGATTCATTATTAGGGATTTTTTTTTTGACGAATAATTTGACGAGATTTTTAAGAGTTAAAAAAAATTTCTTTTTTTGAAAAGATGAAAGAAATATGGAACAAAGTTTAGAATATTTTTTTCCATTGAATCATTCATCATTCACGGAATAAGATTTTGAGATATCAAACAAAAGCTACCATTTATTTTGTTTGATTTTATTAATCATGTCTCTAGCGAATATAAAATATATTCAGATAAAGAAAAAATATTAAATGTAAAATATGTGTATCGATATAATTCCATCGATATTGCAATTTATTTCTGATCGTATAATATTTTATTTGTATTGTAAAAATATAATACAAATATGTACATTAAAAAATTAATAAATGTATTTGTCGCTTCTGCTCTTGAAATAATAAACGATATAAACTTTTATAGGTGCAATCGTCAGTCATCAAAGAGGGAATAAATTTAAACGCAACACAATACAATGCAACAATAAACGATGACAAAAATTTTTGGGAGTGGATATTGGCCGGGATATTGTCCCCTAGTGATTCCACGACTGAAAATCCGAAACCAGAAACTCCTAAAGAGTGTTTACCTTGTAGTAAGTCATTTTATTGAATACTACCATTCAGAGGCAAAAACTATTCTTTTTAATTAAAATATCTTTAAAAATTTCTTTGTGTTTCAAGATATATTGTGTATTTTATAGTGTAATATTTAAAGTTATCTTTCGAAGAAGTTTATATTTTAGAAATTGAGAAATCTAGAGATAGTTTAATTTATTCGTCCTTTTGTAAAAGGAAAAGATAAAATTTTAAATTTTTCGAGTATTTTGTATTCATAAAGTATAAATCATTCATATTTTATATATAATGAAAATATAACAAACAAAAACGAGAATATTTATAAAAATTAAATTACCAAAATAAAAATGAAAAAAATATGATTAAAAATAATCGTGCCAGGATGATTTCTACTTTTAAAGAATTTCAACTATATATATAGAAAGTTAAATTCCGTGGAGAGAGTTCCATGAATTTATATATATCTTTAAGTAGATTTTTTCTTAAAGAAAAATGTTAAATATCGTTATATTTTCTTTTGGTAAAATTGATTGAACACGACACATATTATATTATATTTCATAGAATGCGGTTTGACGAACGTACAGAGACGTATCGTCGGTGGTGTCGAGACTCAAGTTAATCAATATCCATGGATGGTTTTATTAATGTACAGAGGACGATTCTATTGCGGTGGATCTGTTATAAGCTCTTTTTACGTAGTAACTGCCGCCCATTGTGTCGACAGGTGATTTCGCGCTTTAAAATACATTATAATAAATAAATTAATCGTAATAATACGTATAATATATACATATTAATATTTTAATTTATTAATATAACAATACTTCAATACGTGAAATCGAAAGCTCGATATTTTGCTAATGCTTATTACAATACTGTTTTATTTAAGAATACATCTCATCAATTTCAACGATTTTGAAATTTTATGCCTGTAATATAATAATCTTGCGCTTTGCTCTACTCATAAAAACTAATTTTTTTAATCGCGCGTATCGTATTCCAATTCTAACGACAGGTTCGATCCCAACCTCATATCGGTGCGGATATTGGAACACGATCGAAATTCCACTACAGAGGCAAAGACGCAAGAATTTCGTGTCGATAAAGTGATTAAGCATAGCGGTTATTCGACGTATAATTATAACAATGACATCGCGCTCATCAAACTGAAGGACGCCATTCGATTCGAGGGAAAGACGAGACCTGTTTGTCTTCCAGAACGAGGTAAACGTTCTAAATGTTCGATAGTAATCTATAACATTGTGCACGGCAATAAATAAATGAAATTTTATCGTTACAATAATATAACAAAGAATTTTTCTAAGAAATTTGAGTTTAATTATTAACGTATAATATAGATATATTTGAATTTGATTAATTTTTTATTAAATGAACAATTGACAGGAGATTCTAAATAAAAATGTAATAAAATTTGTGTAAAATTTTAATTTAAATTCTTATTCTCAATAAGAGAAAAAATTTCTACATTTTTTTTTTCTTATTTGTTTTCACACATAGAACGATCTGTTAATCATCGATGTGTCAATTTTAATTCAATCCATTCATAGTAGAAAAATAAAAAGAATTCGCATTCACTCATGTCCTCGAGAACTTTTCAAACTTGATTTTTTCAACTCGAGTTTTATACAAAAAAAAATCCTATTTTTTTTTTCCCCCTCGATTTACTTTTTTTCATCAAAATTATAAATCATATTTTCGAAAAGCTTGGAAAAAGGAAGAGAGAAGAAAATCTATCTATCACGTATAAAATACGGGAAAATTTTTTATTGTTTTCTCAGCGAAAACTTTTGCCGGATTGAATGGAACGGTGACAGGTTGGGGAGCGACAGCAGAGTCTGGCGCCATATCACAAACTCTACAGGAAGTCACGGTTCCGATTCTCTCGAACGCCGATTGTCGCGCCACTAAATATCCATCGCAAAGGATTACAGACAACATGCTGTGCGCCGGTTACCAAGAGGGAAGCAAGGATTCGTGTCAGGTAATTAACAACAAATTCTTCTTGTCCGTTATCGTTACTATTAACACCTCTCCGCTTTTAACAACACGTACAAACGGGAATTGTTACATCTTTGTACATTTGCATCTACTTGCGTTTGTGTATCATCTGATTTACACGTGATTTACACGTCCGTTTTTTTTTTTTTTTTTATCACTTGATATATCATACAGAGAAAAGTGCTATTTAAATTTGTGACTCTTTTCTTTTTTTTTTTGTTTTTTCTTTTCGTTAGGGAGACAGTGGTGGTCCCCTGCATGTCGTCAACATGGATACGTATCAAATAGTCGGTAAGATTTCTGCTATATTGCTTGGTTATAAATAGAATTATCATTGGAAGGGATGTAAAGTTTTATTTGTCAAATGTAGCGATTTGAAAAATGGAAAAATAACGATATGATATATTGGAAATATATTACAAAGTTAATACAAAGTTATTGTAATTATAAAAGAGAATTTTATTTATTCCGATTAACAAAATTTTTAGGATATATAATATAAATAATACATATAATAAAAAAACTTTGTCTAATTTTCCACAAATATATAACTGTATCGAATAATATTTCGTCAAAGAAAATTTATTATCTATCGAGCAGACATTTATCAGAGTTATTTTTTGCTTTTCTAAAAAAAAAAAAAAAAAAAAAAAAACATATTATAAATCAATCAATCGAAAAAATAACTCAAAATGAAAATACTTACTTTAAATATAATATTACAAATTTCAGGAACCATGCTTTATCGTTTATTTTCTTGTTAAAATAAATAAGTAACAATTCATTATTTGAAATGAATTCTTATTATCTCAATTCAAATATTAAATACAAATCTCTTAATTCCATGTTCAACATATCTCGTTAAAATTCAAAAGACACGTTCGAATTGAAACCTCCTTTATATCTCATCCAATGACTGCTCTATACTTATATCTACGATCTCTTGTATCTTGTAATTCACAGGAATTGTATCTTGGGGCGAAGGATGCGCAAGGCCTGGCTATCCCGGTGTTTACACCAGGGTGAATCGTTACCTCTCGTGGATAAGTCGCAACACCGAGGACTCTTGTTACTGTTGATTTAAACGATGAATAATAATCCAAGGTAATCACGCGTGGATTACAACAAGAGTCTCGACTCGTGTTTTCGTGATTATTTTTAAATTCATCGCCTTGATCTTAATATCTATGATCGTAGATTCTTTTAAAAAAAGAAAAAAAAAAGACGAGTAAAATTCGTCCTCGTGGAATATCTTTTCTCGAACATTTTAGGATCTTCGCGAATTTTTACATTCGTTTCGGCCACGAAACGACAAGCTCGAGCTGTGTTTTAATCTTGAAGGTCTTTCATCGTGTGTTCATAGATTAACCCTCTATAATCGCCGCTCAAAAATCAAAACATCTGTAATATATTTATATTTTGTAAACATTGTGTAATTACAGTTTTAATTTATTTTGCTGTTACATCATTGCCTCGCAAGGCGCAATCTGTACGTAACAATTATTAATTTCTATTCTGTACAACTATGGGGGAAAGCAAAATTCCTGGAAGTTGATATAAACTTCCAAAGTTTCGTTAAAGTGCAGTTATTAAAGTTTTAAAACAATGATTTGTATAGAATGTTAATATATTCGTGGGACATCTTTGAGGTTAATTATAGAGACTAAAAACAAACCAAATAAAAGTATTGATATATAAAAGTATCCATCGAGTCTTGTTTGTTTTACAATTACAAGCAATTTAATTTTTATGAATTAAACGAAGCGAGATGAAACAAACGTCTCTCCCTCCGTCCAACTCGAACTTCAATCTTTTATAACGATATTTATGCAAGTTAAAAAAAAAAAAAATTATAAATACAATTACACAAATGAAATTAAATTATCACAGACATTTTATATTTCTTTAGATTTTTCTATATTTCGATTTTTCATAAATGTATAAAATTCCACGATGTACTTATAATTTCTCTTATATATAATATATTAACATCTTATACAGCGCTCCTTTGAAAGTACGAATCGAAGCAAAATATTCAACTAAATCACAAAAAGAAAAATAAAACTCGTTTTTTAACCAATTACTGCATTCCTCCACAATTTGACAACAATTTTTCTAATTAAAACGAACGAGCTTCTTACTATTTATCTCTCAAAATGAAAAATTTATAGAGGGTTAAAGCGATTTTCTACGTGCCCCACGAGAAGTTAAAAATAATAGATGGCCACGCGATCCGTTATCCCACATCGATGGAGGCGAGAGACAATTGAAAATTAAGGCACGTATCGCGTGTTCTCCACGCGACTCGTAATATTGAACGTACGAGAAAGAAAGTCACCCGGACTTTCTCTGTTTCTTCGAACTGGAATTTCGGTGAAAACTCATGGGTATGTGTGTATATATATATATATACATATATATATACATATATATATATACCCGTTGCCCAGAGAGCTTTGATTCTCCCTGTATCTGTTTCCATCAATTTCGTGGGCGACAGTGAAACGTCGATTGTCATTGACCTGACAAAATTTTTTGTCGTACTCGAATTGTTCGAAGAAATTCGAAAGTGTTTAGTTTTAAATATTTAGCTCGAATATATTTATAAAATACTCAAATGATACTCAAGTTTGTAAGTTAATTTTAATTTTGTAGTATTTATGTATTAATTTTTTATTTTTTATTTTTTTTACTATTAGTATTAAATTTATTTGTATTAGAATTGCGTGGAATTTTTTATTTTATTATTTTTATAATAAAATAAATTAAAAGTGAGATTTGGAAATCCAATTTTCTAGAAAAACAATAAATTTGTTTATATTTTTCAAAATAATAAATTTTTTGGTAATTTTAATCGTTATATTTAATTTCATTGGTAAGTTAAAAAAAAAAGAATTTTTATAAAAATTTTTCATCGATTTACTTATATACTTTTTTTGTAATAAATAAGAAATAATAATAAAAAAAAGTTATATTAGAAAGATAGTTAATATTTTAATAGAAACTTTTTAATAGAAAACTTTTATTTATATAACTTTTTCTGACTAATGTTCATTAGAATTTTTTTCAAGTACTGAATACTCGACTGGAAAAGAAAAGTCAACATTTTTTTGAATCACTTCCAACTTTCAATGGAGAATAAAAATTTTTTCCCATAAATGTATTTCAACTTTTAAAGACTAGAATTCATTCAGAGGAAAAAAATATAAAATAAAGACAAGAATGGAAAAATAAAGGAAATATGTTTCAAGGAAAAAGAAATTTTAATTTCGAAAATTCTTGCGGTATATAAAAAATTCATTTGACTGAAACTAATTTTCGCAAGCTTAATTTAAAACGTTAGAAACTAGTTTCTTTTTTCAATATTGGTTATACAATTTTAATCTCCTTATATTGTAAATCTTTAAAAATCTTTCTGAACTTTTTCTACTATACATCCTGTTTACAAATTTTCAAATTTTGAATAAATATTCAATTATTTAATTGAAATTTGTTTACAATTTTCCACGAATAAATATATTTTTTCATTTTCATTTATATGCATTGAATCATAATTAATATTGAAATTACCAAACCAGATTTAAAAAAAAAAATTAAAATAAATTAATTTCACAGCTTCTTTGTTTCCCAATTAAAAATTTGTAAACACTTTTGATAAAATTTAATATCGATTTTATGCGTTCATTTTTAAAGCGATATTTTGAAGAAAAAGAGAATAGTTTTAAAAGATTTAATAGTTAATAAGAAAAACAAGTTACAAAAAAATTGTATCAAGGATAAAATTGATATACGAACCAAGGAAATAAGAGTGAAAGAGAATGTTATCATAAAGAAAGGATGTAGAGAATTGAAGAAGCTCAACTCGACAAACAGTCTCTAAAGCCTAGCACATTGTACAATGAAACAGCAAAGTAAATAAGAAGGGATAAACGGGGGGGGAAGTAAGGAAAACGAAGAGAAATTCATTTACTGTAACTTGCTTTAACCAAGAGCTTTAGTTCCTTTTAGTAATTGTTTTCTGTCAATCGACGTATCATTGTACTCCATACATACATGATCTATCGTTATTTTATATAAATAATTCATTAAAATTCTATAAATACTAAAAGAATACTAAATTAAACACATATGTCGATTATTCAACTATGATATGTCTACAACATGATTTCGTAAAAATATAGGTAACTCTCATATGACATAATAGTATTTATACATATATAGAGTTATTCAATTTCAATAAAATCAATTTCATAATTTCATTAATTATGATTTTGATTTAATTAAAGATTGACTCTTTTGCAATATATAATATGAATATAAATTATATATAAATTTTTTTTAAAGATTTTCTCTATATAAAAATGAAGGCTTATTATTTTTCATAATCTCGTCTAAGAAATTTTAAAGAAATTATTCTACAGTAAACGGGTACAATTTTATTCATCGAAAAATTCGATGCTTTGGCATTTAAAAAAAAAAACAATTTACTTTTATATACAATTCTTTAAATTTTAACAAACTCATCCCTGTTTAATTCGATTCGAAATTTTTTTAAATAAAATTATGTTTCCCTTGATATAATAATGGATAATAAAATTGTTTGGACGAAACGTTCGACATTCACGTTTTACGTGTAACGCGAGTCTTGCATAATAATTTTTATGTAACTCAAGTACCGTGTCATACGAGAGTTACCTCGATGAGAGTTACTCCCAATGATATTCTACTTCAATATGTCTAAAATCGCACGTCGAAAGAGTGAATTTTTTTTGATCGTTTTTTAACATCGAAACGAACATTCACAAGTACAACCACAAAGAAGTAAATTGATTGGTTAAAATTAAAATCGTCAATACTTCATATATATTTTTCGCGTATTAAATATCGGTGACTAGAAGTCCTTCCGGTCTAATGGCTTGTTCCTCCATCAATTTAACGTTTGCTTCTACTTTGTCGGACAACCAATATGTTTCCATATTACCCTTACCCTGCACGGAAACGGTAAACTAACGAATTAAACGACCAGGCGGGGAGGAGGGTAACCTAAATTAAAAACTTTTTGTGTATACGAACCTTGACCCAGACCAACCCGCGTGATTCAACGTGATAGCGATCCAGTGATAATAAGGCTTTGGCGTCGGACGAGATGTGCACTTTTCCCGGCTGCATCGTGGAAATTTCGAAAGGAAATTTATATAAAATTGAATTGTTAAAATTATAGTAAAGTAAACGGAAGAATAATAATAATTTGTTAATTAATAACCGGATGCGAATCTAAGTTGAATTATATATTATAGAATGAAAAAAAAATTTTTTTTAATACTTTTAAATATTTTAAAGTGAAATGAAGAGTATTTTAGTGAGGAACCGAAGAGATGAATTAAAAATGAGTGTGAAATATAGAATAAATTTTGTTATGATATTTTGAGAAAATCAAGTTTGAAAATTATATAATTTATTCAATTTAAATAAAAAATTCATTTTATAAACAAAGATTTTGTTGTATATTTTTGATTCATTTTTTAAAATCAAAAGTTTTGCTTTCTTTTCCAATATTCCATAATTTTGGAGATATCCTATATATAATAAAGAATTGTGTAAAAAATCTGGAAGAATTTGTGCGCAGAACTTAACAAATTGAAACAAATTGAGAATTTTTCTTAAGTAAAAATATTTTGATCTCGCAAAAGAAATTAATGGATCCAGATCAATGAAATTTCAAAGTTTAAAATTCAATTTATACTTAAATCTTCAACAAAGAACAAAGAGTTTCGATTTTTTAAAAATTTACTCTCTATCTTTTTTATCTTTTTCTCTCCATTGAGATTTAACTTGAATAAATCAACTTACCAGACTAGTCGTTTGCATCCTAGAAGCAGTATTCACAGTGTCACCGAAGAAGCAATATCTAGGTACTTTGATGCCAACCACACCTGCCACAGCTGGTCCAGAATGGATTCCTAGTGGAAAGTGGAACACACTTGTATGCAATTGTGTTCATTCTCTGATTATTCTCTCGGGAGAAAAAAACAGTTTGTTTTCGATAGAAAGACAAATTTAATCTCGTGAAGACAAAAGA